ATATTGAATTATCAACAATGATGTAATGATGACAATTCGATATTCTTTGTCATTGATAATCAAAATAATATAAGATACTTACTATAATTAAAAATAACAATCAGTAAAATAAATTGCAAATAGAGATTTAATTATTAATATTGCATTGTTTACCAACCGTGTTAGAGTTCGATGAACTTATGATAACTAATAATTTCCGTTATATAATAAGATGGTTAGCATTAAAATATGGATTTCGTCCGTGCATCAGCTGACTTAAAAAAAAAGGAGTATGCCAAGACCTATTATTACTCTTTTCTCATACTAAAATCAAGCGTCCTCTTGCCATCCAAAGCTAAAGATCAATGGGTAAACAAAAAAATATCAAACACAATACTAAGACTATATATTATTCATCAAGACAATCTCCTTGATTCATTAATTGTTACATGGGAAAAAATCGGCGCAATGATATTTCAGTAGATCAATTGAGAATTATAATTAATGCCAGGCATTAACATAAAGTAAATATTATTATATATTAATAAGACAGGGTGGGACTGCCTTCGTTGGTTGTTTATTAACTTTTCACTATTGTGAACCTGAATTCTACTTCTAATTCTTTGCGTTTTCCCCCCTTATTAAGTTATCAACTGCTCCCCGCGGTGAATTGAGTATTATTACATGTATCAGATCATAATATTTATTTATTTAAAAAAATAAATCCCCGAACTTTAAAAAACTGCAATAAATAAATAAAGAAATTCTAAATGATGACTTAAAGAATTGCAAATCCGGATTTAGATTTTAAAAATAAATCTTTTATAGCGGACCTCCTCTACAGTGGGGATTAATTAAACTCTCGATATAATGGAAATTATCCAAAACTGACTACTCGATATAGCAGATTTACTAATAAATTTTCCAAAAACCCTTGATATACAGTCAAATCTCTATATAATGATCCCTTTATATAGCGAATTTGATTTTGAAACCCCCGAATATAATTAAAAGCATTTGACTATAGTGATTTTCCATTTAACGATTTTTTTTTGAGTCTGAGCCGATCCATCGTTATGAAGTTTTCATTGTAACGAACATTAAATAGAAATTGTTATAAACAAATACTTTTTATTCTTATTGGGGAGTTCAAATTCGATTAGTGGTTACCACTTTGTGATAACAACCTTTATCTATACCCAATCAGAACTTTGGGGTTCATTGTAAGTCACGTGTTGCGTGTGTGATCATGACTTTCTAAAATAAAAGTATCTCGTCACATGTAAGCATCTTTGTCGGTGAAAATTTTCGGGGATCTTTTTGAACAAATATTGATAATGCTTCGTTCTCCCTCACTTCGTCTCTATCAAACAGTTGCCAGGAGCTATACGCGCAGAAGCGCTTCCACAGCAAGTTCTGTCCCATCGCTGACGAATCTTGAAACACGTTGGAAAACATTGTCGTCCGAGGAACAATCAACTCTCACAAAACAACTTGAGGACCTTCAGAAAAAGGATTGGCATGAGTTATCGTTAGACCAAAAAAGAGCTGGTATTATTTTTTCATGACTACAGATTGGTCAAATGAATTTTTGCGTAATAAGGTTTTTTACATGGGCCATCGATTATTTTGATGTTTAATCTTTCATCAAACAAATTGAAAATCGAAAATTTTAAAGCATATTATATCGCATTTGGTCCGCATGGTCCAAGAGAACCTCGAGACGAACCGAATCAAGGGTTAAAGGTACTTGCGGGTGTCACTATCACTCTGATGGTATCTGCTTTGCTCTTTAAGCTTAGTCACTACGGAGGTATGTATTATTTTTGAACCATATCAATATGAAAGAGTGAGCGTGTTTTTTCGTTTGTATATAAAACAAAGTTGTTTTTATTTTATGTGAAGTCCCTTATCCGCGTAGCTTTGACAAAGAGTGGCAAGAAGCAACTAATGAATTGATGCGAGAACAGAAAGCCAATCCAATTACAGGTATCTCTTCAGAAGGGTATAAAGGAAAGGGCTTTGTCACTCAATAGTACTGCGTGACAAATTCCTGAATTCGAGGCCTAAAAACATACACATATATACATCCACATTTTACCTTAATTACGATAAAGAGCAACATATACACACATCAGGTAGAAATAAAGATTAGTAGTGTAGCAAATAGCAAACTTTTTAACTTTTTTTTTATTATCTTTTTCGGTTTGCATTTGATTGCTATTGCTGTTGTAAAGAGTAGTGGGGGGTTTTTTTTAAAGGAGGTAGTGGGTTTTTTAATTTTTGATTATTGAAATTTATTCTTACAATTTTTGACCGTGAGAAGGTAAGTAAAGAAAAAGAATAATATTGATAGGAATTTTCCTTTTTCTTACTTTACCGTATGCATGAAATATCACTTTTTGTTATAATTATTATCACGTTCTCCATGCTTTATTTTATTAAAGAAAATTATTTGAACTACAGATATGCATCCACTTTCTAATTGATTGATTTCGACATAACTATCACTATTGAATGAAAGTTTCTAATTAAAGTTCCTTAAATGCTATAAATAATTCTCTGTATTACGTATGAAGTTGTTTCTTTTCTGGTACAAGCGCGTGCTATATGTATATTATATACTACGCATAATGGCATAATACGCATACCATCAATATTTGATCACCCGTATTAAAAGTTGCGTTTTCAACATTGACTACCTCTTTTTAACAGGAATATGGACGCGACGTCTTCCACTCTTTCCGAAGAACAAGTCTATGATAAGCTCAAGGGCTGCCTTTATGGTGTTTATCTGAATCCATTTTCATGAAAAAAACAAAAAACAAAAATAAAAAAATTAAAACTGATTTAATTTCCTCAAAAAAAGGTGCTGCGCTTGGAGACGCGGTAGGACTTGCGACCGAATTTCTATCCAAAGAGAAGGCTAGAGAGCTCTATGGTGTTGGGCCAATAGCTTTTGGGACTGATCAAGGTTACGAGATAGTATGTGACACGCATAGAAGCCGTTGGGAATCGGGTGACTGGACTGACGATACAGGTATTTGCTTAACCTCCCCGACAAAAAATCGAATTTGTAGAAATAAAGATCACATGTCCATACTTTATCAAGTAGAAACATCAAGCAAATTCTTGAAAATCGACTATTAATTATGCTTATCCATGGTTATATGATTTTTGGATTAGACCAACAGCTTCTCATAATTCAATCATTACTTTCCACGAACGGCGTATTCTACACGCGTGATTTCGCCAAAAGATTATTTCAATGGGCCGAGCAAGGGTTTCCCGAATTGGAAAATAAACCTCCTTGTGGGATAGGACTCACCGTTGCCTCCGTTTTAAGGCATGATTTATTTAAATCGACACCACATAGAGCCGCATGGGATGTATGGGAAAGTTATGATTGTAATTTGGCCGCGAATGGAGCATTAATGCGAACTGCTATTCTAGGGTTCCCGAATTATAAGGATGAAACGAAAGTAGTTAAACAAACGTTACAAGCGACCAAAGTTACCCATACTGATCCGAGATGTTGTGTGTCTAGTGTCATCGTGACTGTCCTAATTTCGAGGCTGCTACGAGGTGATGATCATACATCACAAGATGATGTAGAATTGGATCAATCGACAAAAGAAATGATTTCTAAGTGGATGAAATCAGGGAAGCCGACTAATAATCCTGAAGAAAATATTGATCTGGAAGATCCGCCACCAGAAACAGAAACATCAAAAAAGAATATCATTAATAAAACATTCAATCGAATAAGTAAATTTATAGGCAAAGGAAGCTCTTCCGACAATCCACCTGAATGGATTAAGATTGCTTTGAAAAAACGGCGACGCCAATCATCAACAACACGACCTGATGTATTGATTCCTGATAATCCACCTGCGAGCATGGATACTTTTGGAGCAGATCCCAAAGTATTTTCTTTAACGCAAAATGTCGTGAATCAGTACAAGTTTATGCTTGAAGTTCAAATGAGAGCCGAAAGTGATGGATCAGCCGACAACAAAAGACCAAGAGCAAACCGAATCTTCACGAAACTGGAGGCGAATACTGGCGTCGAAGCGTTACTTTCGCACTGTTTCCCTGAATCACTGTCCACCTTAAAGCTCGATGAGCAGTCGTCGATAGGATATGTGTATAAATGTCTTGGCTCTGCTTTATATTGTTTCACCAGGAACTTGAATGATTATTCAAGTGAAGGAGATGCTTTTAAAAGAATTATCACAGAACTGACTTTGGAAGCTGGGTAATTTTTATATTTGTTATGAAATCAATTTAAAATAAAGGTTTAATCATAGTATGTATGTAGGGATGCTGATACCAATGGAGCTGTAGCTGGTGCTTTGCTTGGCGCCAGGATTGGATACAACAAGTTGCCAAAGGAATGGATAAGCGGATTAAGGTTCACCGATTGGTTAGACGATAAAATTGATCGGTTATATGCTATTGTCACCGCAGGTTGACATCTAGCGTATTTAATCTCTTATAGAAATTTAGACTTTATTTATTGTTGTGCTATATAGAATATCCGCGTAAATGATATAAAATAAATAATATGACATCCCACGATAAGTATTGCATGCCATCTTGCACATGAGCACACAATGATAATTGATGGTGTGATCTTTTGGGGCCAAGTAAAAAAAGTTCAATCAAAAGATTACAAACACGTAAGGAATTGACAAAGGAAACCTTGGAATTCAAAATTTTTTAGATGCCACAATTTTTCGTTTTTTTTTTTTTTAATTTATCCTCTGTATAAATCTTCAAAGTAAATCAATCCAAGTATAAAATAAATTCATGCTTGCATTTAATTATGCACGCTTCGCTGCTCGGGGGACTTTTGAAGATGCGCTTGAATAAATTTAATCAAAACGTTTGCTTCCCCTTCTCCTTCTCTTGGCAGTAACCATGATAATGCTAACTTGATACGTTTACAATTTCGAATTCATTGTAAATCATTCCCATATCCACTTCTCAATGTGGCTAGTAGTATTATTCTCAAATGAAACTAGCATCAAGCCAAGAATTTCATTGACGCATAAATTCTTACTATTGAAGATTCTCATCGTCGGTAAATCTTTTTACTTGCCACACGTAGTGTGGATCCCTTTCTTGGCGCGCGAAAATTAGGTAACTTAGAATAATCGGAATCAATGATGTGTGTGATACCCTACCATCACATTAACTTCTAGAATGCCAAAAAGAAAGCTTGGTATTTTCAAAAATCTAAAGAGAATTTACCATTTTCTTGGCGCTACGACATTTCAGACACTAATCAATTGAAATTAAACATAATTTCGATAAATGCTTGATGGTCTTTGCCAAGATTAAAGTTTATGATTGATTCGCCAATTGCCAAGACTTTCTTTTATTTTATTCAACTTTGTACATTATTATTATTCACATATTTTGCCTTTTTTACACACAAACACACAGACAAAAACAAGAAAACTTATTTTTTTTTAAATTCCGAATTTTTTGAGAATTATAAAAAGCCGAGTATCTTCGCGCTGGGTTTTTCTGGATTTTTTATCTTTTCATACGTATAACAAATAAATAAATAAATAGTTGAAAGAACTTAGACAAACAAGCAACCTTATCTACATTAAATAATAACCGTTATTGTTGGCATACACACTTGCCACAACTCTTCATTTCGCATTTGCAACACGCAATTCGTCTTTCAACAACCAATTAAACAATCCAAAGTAAAATACTCGAAGCAAAAAATTAAAGACAAAAACCATGTCTCTAACACCTCTAACACCGCCACCGCAACAAACTGTGAAATCTGAACCAAAAGAGCTGACATGTCTTTGGAGTCAATGCCTCAAGGTGTTTGACGATCCCGAAATATTATATCACCACTTGGCGAACGATCACGTAGGCAGAAAGTCGACGGGAAACTTGTGTCTCGAATGTCACTGGGACAAATGCGAAGTTGTTACTTCTAAAAGAGATCACATCACTAGTCATTTGAGAGTGCATGTCCCGTTGAAACCGCATACTTGTGAGGTATATAGTTTTTGGGTTAGGGGTAGTGGCAGTAGTGTAATTTCTTGTTTGAGATATTTTGGATTTTGAATTTCTACTTACTTAAAAATTTTTCCCTGAATTTAGACATGTAAAAAATCGTTTAAACGGCCTCAAGATCTAAAGAAACACGAAAAGATTCACACCGAAGAGCACCAGCATCAAATTTCAATGCATAAAAGCGAACGCATGCAAAGAAATCAACAACTTCAAGCGCCCACGCCACCACATTATCCTCGATCAGCTCGTTCTTCGTCCGTTGACTCTACCACTTCGTCACATCCTGGCCCGTTGTCGCCACAGAGTATTGCATCAAATGGATCAAATCACGATAGAACCGTTCTTTGTAATTATCTTTATTATTATTTTCATGTTGAACATTATTTGATTTATTCGCTCGAAAGTCTAACTTAAACGTAAATTTGATTTATCAAGCATATTCGTCACCATATTCACAAACATCGGATTCGTTTAACACGCCACCATTAAAAGAATACGGATTTATCAACAACAATAATAACAATAGCAACAATCCCACGAGTTTACACCATAATTTAAGTTTGGCCACTGACCCAGGTCTCGATGCTGAACTAAGCAACTATTCCACGTTAAAAAATAATAATAATAATAACAACAACAACGGCAACAATAAACTAGGGTACCCTACGAATAGTCGAGTGTCAAATAAGAGGGGACTTGATGTTCTTGATGAATTGTGTTGGGATGTGAAGAAACAACGGGTGGCACCAGTCTTTAATCAAGGTAAATTTTGTGTCTGATGGTGATGATCACGATATTGATGATATAATATGAGTTTAGTTATAGCATCTCGTTCATGTGTGAGTGGGTGTGTGAACTTGTGTGAGGGATGTACCTTGAATTATAAAATGAGTTTATGCTGAGTGGTTGATGATGCGGTATCAATGAATTTAAATTAGTTTTACTTGAAAATATACATGTTTACATTATTATCTTGACAATACCAAAGTAAAAAATCAAATAAAAAAAATCATCAATAAAATTTCCAATATTCTTGATGCCCATTCTCAATAATTCTATTTTATCTACTTTAGAAATGTCGGATAGACTCAACGAACTCGACTTTATATTAGAAAATGACAACTTAACTCTTCCAACCGCAATTCGTACCAAACAAGACCTGCAACAGTTTAACAACTTCCTGGTTACTCTGAATGCTCAATGTGGGGGCGAATTCTTGGACCCAAATCTGTTTGACGATACAATCATTGGCGGTGTGGGTGCAAATGCAGGTGATTTTTCCGCTGGATTGTTGGCAGATGTTACCACCTCCACATATTCGAATGTTGCTTCGCTGACATTACCTACCGACGACTTCACTACGAATTGTGAAAGTCTCTATCCAAGTTTGAATCTGTCAAATACTACCACTAATGCCACTTCAGCTGGGCTCGCAAATCCCGATATGTTTATCGGTTATCCTGATGAATTGGGTGATATCTATCCAACAATACCAAGTATGACATCATCTCAAAGTTCATCAACACTTTATACTGCTAATACCTCAACCAGCAGTATTTCCGGATTGCTTAGTCCACCAGAAGAAATTAAAGACAGTTTCGTAGATTATTATTCAACTACGAATGACATTTTCGCAGAGGGTGTCAAGACTGAACATAACTTCAATGCGAAAATTAATCCTGATTATATTACCACTGAAGATCCGTTCATCCCTGGTCAATTGATTGATGCTCCAATTATCTTTAAAGAAAACGACGCTAAAAAACAAAAGGACACTTCTACTATTGTTAAACCTAAACCTTCACAGGGTCCATTCCTTTACGATAAACCCAAGGGTGAATCTTCCTCGGTCACTAATTCTGGTTCGCAAACCTCCGTTACTTTATCTTCATCAAATCGATTCGGTCAAGGCGCATTCAGACCCAGAAGTCTCAAAGTACAGCTACCGCAAAAATCTGGCACCGAGACAACATTAACAGCAGGAAAAGAACCAGATCCAGTTGATTCATTATCCAAAAAAATTGCCGACATGGAAATTAGAGATTTTTCGAAAAATAAAAAAGAATCCATACAGGATGAAATTCACTATTATCCTAAACCTGTGGTATCTTTGTCTGGAGGTGATGACGCAGAATTACGCAGACAAAAACATGCGCAACTTATTGCTACTCTATTCAAAAAAGTCAATCAAATGTATCGGGAAATGGACAATTCTTTGGCAGCTGGTCAACACACTACTGCGACTTCTAAAAATGTATTGTTATCATCCAATTTATCAAAAGGAGTTGGCATAAAGATTAAAACAGAAGAACGTGACTGAAAAAAAGACATCCCATTTTTTTTTCTTTGAACAATTTGCAATTGGGTGAAAAGGGGGGGGGGGGATCTTTTACATCCTGTGGTGTGCGTTTGTTCTTCACGGACAATCAAGCGATATAGTTGATAATAATGATAATATACTATTTCACGAAATATAGTTCCGTTATATAATTTTGTGAAACACACCTTTTTTTTAGATTATCTTATTTATTTTTTTATCTTTCAACATTTTTATTTTATTATTGTAGAAAAAGCTGGTATCTTTTCAATAAATAAAATGACTAAAAATTCAGATATCAACAGAATTCTTGTTATCAAAAACCATTCGTTTTTCATAAACAATATAGGAGACAAAATTCGATAAGCAAACATACTATAATTAAGCATTGTTGGAACCAATTTGTGCATCATTCTTTCGTCGTGCAGATCGAGTACGGATTGGCGAAAAGATATCCACGTTTTCCTATATCAACATTTCTTGTGAGATTTGGAAATTATCTAAATTCAAATGCGATGTTTTTACTAACCTTTTCCTTATTTTTCTTTGATTTTTGACGCGTAACTGTAATTTAATATATAAACATTCAAATTCAATAAAGAATTTTAAAAAAAAGAATGCAAGTCTAAATCGTAAATATACCTGGTTTCTCGGGTTCTTCATCCTTTGCGTCAACTTTGCTCTTACTCAGTTCAGGGACTTCAACAACATCCTGCATGGGATCATTCTCATTCTCGGAAGGTTTCGCTGTTTAAATCATAGATGATGATTTGCATATTAGAGTTACCACAATATGTAAAATTAAGATACTTACTCGACTTAGATTTATTTGTTTTTTTTGCAATTGGTTTCTTCTTACGAGCGGCAGATTGCAATGGACGAGCTGAAATATTATATAGATTAAAAGTGAAGATGCTTCTAAAATTCTAAAAGAGCATTTGCAGCTTACTGGATCGTTTTTTGGCAAGACTTTCTCCTTCATGATCGGATTCTTGGATTTTGGTGCGAGATTTTGGGGTTTCAGTCTCGGTCTGCTTCTCTCGTAGTGCACGAGTTCTTATATTAAAATGTGAATTTGTGTATTGTAAATTTTTGTTCATGAATAAGCAAAAAAAAATCTTTTTTTACCTTTTCAATGATGAATTTTCTGTATCATTTAATTCTTTAGCTGCTGCTGCTTCTTTAGTTGTAACATCATTTTCATCGGTATGCACGGGATTTTCGTGTGGGGCTACTATTTCTTCTTTAGTTGTAATATCACTTTCATCGATAGGCGTGGAATTTTCTTGTGGTACTACTATTCCTTCTTTAGCTGTAACGTCATTTTCTTCGATATGCATGAAATTTTCTTGTGAGGCTATTATTTCCACTACTTGTTGCTATTGATTGTAGACTTTTCATTAGTATAAATAAAAATGTAGCAAATATCTTATGCTTCGTGATCAAACTACGGATAATCTTCACACCTCATTATCATTTCTCGCTTGACCGTCCTCATTGATGATATCTCCCAGAATTGCGTCCTCCTTTTTTTCCTCTTGTGCGGCAGCACGCCTCGCGAAATATTCAGTAGGATCCGCGTGGTAAACATTGACATACTCGTCCACGGACATGCTTCGTATCTCGGGAGGCAAGTTTTCCAAGTCTTTTTCACACTCGAGACGAAATTTTAAAAGTATTTGTGCTGCTTGTTCTTCGAGTATTTTATTACGAGCTTCCACTTTGTTGTTTGACGTGAGAATTATAGCTTGTGAAAACCTGTGAAAAACAATATGTCATATCATCCTTCTTACTTTGAGAGTCCAGTTTATCTAGTAAAAGCTGTTTCTGTTCGGCTGTCATGCCCACATCACTGACTGCGCTTATACAGTCATCCAAAACAACATCTTCCAGGTCGAAACCGAGCTGCAACTCCGAAAAACCCGAGAGTAACGCGGTAATTTGTTCAGTCTGTTGTTTTTTGAAGGTTTCCACGTCCATTATTGTTTCAGTTGAGATATCGAGATATCATTATACATATATAAGACGCGTTTTGTAATTCACATTTTATTGGTTTGGCGATCAGCCAATATTAATTTTTGCATAATTTCCTATATAAAATAAATTAATTTTGTAATATTATTTATATAGCTGAATACAACATAAAATTACTTGTATAATAGAAAAACAAATTTAAATAACTAAAGAGAGATAAATATAATATAAAGAGATTTTTAATTATAATTAATGGATGAATCTAATTGGAACATCCTGTTCCAGGAACAACCTCGGAAAATTAGTTCGGCTAGGACCAGAAATTTCAAAATTTTTTATTTGATTGGTTATTAAAAAAACGTGATGCATAGTGATTTTTATTCTTTTAAAAATGCTAAATACTTTATCACTATGAATCTTGCAAGTGAATTTTGGCAAGTAGAAATGCATCCAAGAGATAGAGAGAAAATAGCATTCATTATCAATGAAGGATTATACCATTTTAATGTAATACCATTTGGACTTACAAACACTCCAGCTACCTTTCAAAGGCTTATGAACAAAATCTTTAAAGAATATATTAGAAAATTTATAGTCATATATTTGGATGATGTAATCATCTACTCAGAAACCTGGAAAGAACATGTAGAGTATGTATAAAAAGCTTTAGAAAAACTCTGACAGACAAATCTCAAACTCCAACCTGATAAATATATTTTTGGAAAAAATCAGTTATCTTTTCTGGGCTATATCATAGGAAAAGATGGAATTCATTCTGATCTAGCTAAGATAGAAAAAGTACAAGAATTTCCAGTATCTATCAATATCACATTATTAAGAGGATTTGTAGAACTTATCTCTTATTATAGGAGATTTATCAAAGACTTCACCAAAATAGCAGCTCTCTTACATAAACTATTTAGAAAGAATGAAGAGTTTAGATGAACAAAAAAATAACAAGCAGCTTTTGAATCACTCAAAAAATATTTGATCTCACCACTAATTATCACGTATTCAGATTTCACAAAGTTATTTACTCTTTTTACTGATGCTTTTAGACTAGGATTAGATGCAGTATTAGCATAATATGATAGTGAAAAAAAGAAATATGTGATAGTCTATGTTAGCAGAAGAGTAAGCAAGAAAGAAAGCAAGTATATAGTAACAGAACTAAAATATCTTGAAGTTATTTGGGCAGTCAAGCTATTCAGACCTTATCTATTATCTGATATTTCATTTATACTTATCACTGATTATTCAGCACTCAAGTAGTTAATTAATAAACCAAATTCTCCTGAAAAACTTGCATGCTGAATAATGACTTTACAAGAATATAATTTTAAGATTGAACATAAATTTGGAAAAATCTATTCTAATATTGATTCACTTTCTAGAATATCACACATATCTATAAAAGAAAAAGATAAAACATGAATCTGAATAATTATACAAAAATATATAACTATCTCAACATGCTAATAATACCTGATGAATTCTCAAAAGAAAAATAGAAATAGCTGTTGGCAGAATCAAAGAAATACTTTATATAAAATCACAAACTATACAAAAGAAACAGACAGAATGTTAATCATCTATTATTAGTTATAAAATTAACAGAAATAGAGTCAGTTCTTTATAATAATCATTCAGATATTACTTTTGGATACTTTGAAATAGAAATCACTTATAATTGAATAATGAGAAATTATTATTAGTCTCAGATATATAGAGATATTAATGTATATATTAAAGCCTGTAATATATATTAATAAAAAGAACAACTACGCAAAAATAATAAAATGATATCTATTCAAGTTAATACATCTTTTAAAAAGATTAGAATTAATTTGGTGAGATCTCTTCTAGTAACTGGTAATAGAAATTATTATATTATAGTTATTATTGATTATTTAATCAAATAGACTGAAGCAAGACCAATTACTGATACTTTCACAAGAATAATCATCTTCTTTCTTTATGAAGATATAATGATAAGACATGAATTTCTAAAAGTGATAGAGGAACTACATTTATCAACAAAATAATTAAAGAACTATTAGATAAATACCAAATCAAACACAGACTTTCTGCATCTTATCACTCTTAAACTAATAGATTAGTTGAGAAATTAAACTGAATCTTGTGTACTTTATTATTAAAATATGTTCAACTCTATAAGAAAGATTGGAACCATTATCTATCTTCAGTTTTATTTGTCTATAGAATAATAAAGCAAAGTATAATCTCATTTGAATCTTTTTAATTAGTATATGATTAATAAGCAATTACATTATTGAATATTGAATTAAAAGACTTTGATAATCTTACTTTTAAAGAAACTCTTATTAAAAAAATATGTGAACTAATTGATAAATTGGAAACTACACAAGAACTAGCTCTCAGTAATATTTAAGAAGAATAATCAAAACAAAAAGAATAGTATGATAAGAAATAAAAGTTAATAGTTTTTCAAATAGGACAGAAAATATTAATAAGATGAATAGAGACTCAATACTGGTATCATGATAAGTTTGATGAAAAATAGAAAGGACTATTCTATATTCATGAAGCATATAATAAAGGAGCATATAAACTTAGAAATGAAAATGGAAAAGTTTTAAAGAATCCATATAATGATGATCATTTGAAATTATATATCAAGTTCAATAATTTAAAACTAATAATTATTATCAATAATAATTAAAAGATTTACAGAGTAAATCTCTTAAAGTCAGAGATCCTGTAACCAATTACTTATTTATGTGACACAATAAACATGACATAGTATATGGTATAGCCATAGTACATGATATAATAATTACTAATCACTACTAAATTAGACAAATAAATAATTTATATTAATTAATCTTATTTATAATTAACTCTATTTTTAATTTATATTATTACCCATATTTAGCTTTATTAT